GCCTCCTCACAGTAGCTCTGTGCACATTTCTAGAGGTACAAATCCCCTTTGGGAGGAGAAGAGGCCCCAGTGCTCTCCATTCCCAGTCCCCTCTGTGACCTGCTGGGCTCCATGGCAGGTGCTGCTGGTCAGCCTGGGGCAGGTGACAGCAGGGCCCGTCAGAGATGCTGAGTGAGGTCCTGCAGGCTCAATCCTGCCTTGGGGTCACTCAGGGAAGATGCTCTGGGGTTGGATTTGGCTTTTTGCAGCAGACTGACAGCTTTAACGAGGAGGAGCGAAACACCATTAATCAGGGTGAGAGCAACAAGATGCTGACGCCTCCTGATCCGATCTGTTGCTTGCTTAGAAGGCAAAATTAGATTCATCAAGTGGCCTGACTTAGTTAATAAATCTACTGCATCTGATGTGGCAGTCCTGGAGTTCTCTGGAATCTTTTGATAATCTTTTTCTCCTAAAGAAAGGAGCAGACTCTCCTGTCTCCAGGCTGATGATGGGTGCTTGCTCCTTTTGCCAGGCACCTTAATTTAAGCAGTGTCACAGCTCTCCTGCCCTCAGCCCTTCATCTTGTTTGGCTCATGCTGTAGTGAAAGGAAATGTTCAAATGTCTTGCAGTGCCATAATCTGCCTGTGTATCAAATGAAGAAAAGTCTGGGTGGCAGGAGCTGCTGTGGGCAGCAGAGCAGTGTCTGGAGGTGGAATGCCTGTGCCTGGCAGTGGCTGTCAGGAGATGGATGATGCAGAGGCTGCCTCCCTGCATGGCTGTCCCTGCCTGTGTTTGCAGGTGCTGTGTGGCACTGGAGCCTCTTCCTGTGAGGTGTGTAAATGTGCACCAAGCCATCTGTGTGCTTTCTTGCATCTGGGGCTCACAGTGCAGAGAAGTAAGAGGCAATCTGAGAGAAAAGGGGAGCTGGAAGTGGAGAAAGCCAGCCACAGATACTCCTTTTCAGTATCCTCTGGGCTGCTGAGATAGATGCATCCAGCCCTTTATTCCAGTTTCCCCCAATGAGGTAATTTCATGAGGTGTCATCCTTGCATGCCCTTGAGCTCTCTGCAAGACACACTTGTGCATTTGCACTTTCCCTGCACCCTGCATCCCTGCTGGCTGCTGCAGGACTTGCCCTGCCTGAGAGCAGACCATGATTAGGCAAACACCTGGTTTGGGGTGCAGGGAGCCCCAGCCAGAGCACAGGGACTGCCCTGGTGGGAGGTTTGCAGAGTCTCTTGGTGTGGCCATGTACTCCAGTAGTCCCTGTTCCCTCTGGAGCTGGGCAGGTGCAGCCAGTGCAGGCAGCAGTCACACAGAAGAGGGCTGGAAAGAGTTTAATGTGCCCATCAGACCCTGATGGAGATTAACCTGATAAATGGGAAACCATGGCATCTTCTCCCATGCTTTTCTCTCCTCTCTACTAAATATGACAGGCCATGCTCGAGGAGCAAGGGGCAGGATTTGGGCCGTGACCTCCTCAGTGTGCATCATTAGCCCAGCTGCTGCTGCTCCTTGTGGCACCTCTTTGTGCTAAACAGCCTTTTAATATTGGTGTCAAGCAGTTCAGAAGCAGTTTTCAGCTCTGCTTAAGCTGGCAGCTCAGCCCCACTGGCTGGGGCTGGGCACAGCAAGGGCTGGCTGCTGGCCACTGGCTGCTGCCTGAATGGGCAGGTGTGTGAAGGAGGCACGTTCTGAGGCCTCACCAAGTGCTGGGGCTGAATGGGAAGTGCTGGAAGTGCTGATGGGTCAGTTCCAACAGGGTTGTGGCTCTGCCAGAGAATCCACACAGTTTGTGTGGAATTGGCTCCAGTGCAGGTGGGAGTGCAGCCGTGGTGTGTCACTGTGTGCAGAAGCAGAGGGCTCTGGTGCAGGCTGCTGCTCCAGCTCTGCAGGGCTTTCCTGCTCCAAGGGGCTACCAGGTCTCCCCATGGATGCTGCATCAGCAGTCACCTTCCAGCCAGGCAGGGGCCAGCCCCAGAGTGGAGTGCAGCTCAACTTGTCTGTGGCAGCTGTGGCTGTGGGGTGTGCCTGAGCAGCGCTGCTCGCTGCAGAATGTGCAGCGAGGCTGTGCTGGTGCTGCTTCTGCAGGGCTTGGAGCAGGCTGAAGGCTCAGACCTGAGTGCAGCAGGGCTGGTGCTTGTTGGTGCTCAAGGAAATGGTTCTTGCCCTGCTTGAGAAGCAATTGCTGCAGGCACGGGAGGACCGGGGAGATGCTCTCCCTCCCTGTGTCGGGATGGGAGCAGCAGTCTCTGCTTCCAGCTGCTCACCTGGGCCTGTGGGCTCCCACTGTTCTCTTTCCCAAGCTGTTCTTGGAAGTGCTGGTGGCAGCAAAAGGGAAAATAGTGCTCCTGAATGTGAGCAAAGGAAAGGTTTTGTTTTCTCAATGTGAGCTCCAGCCTCTTCTTGGGTAAGGTGCATTCCACAGTTCGGTGAACTCAGCCATCAGCAGATTGCTCAGCAAATCCTGGCCATTTAGCTGTTACCCTCCCAGAAAGGCATGTCCTTGAGTTTAAAAGGCTTCTGAACTGATGGGTAAAGCTGAGTTTCTGGCACACAAAGACCTCTCATCTTTCTCAAAGCTGCTGTGGTGAAGCTGTGAGTTTGTAAACCTGAGGTCAGTCTAGTGCTACCTCTTATGTTCTATGTGTGAATAAGCATTTGGCCTTGGAAAATGTCTTCCCTGTTCCTCAGCAATAATTCTCTGTGCTATCTACAGTAGTTAATGATAGAAGCAACAATGCTTGTATAATTAGCCCATTAATACCCCAAAGGACTCAGCATGCTAATTACCTGACACAATGCGATTAGCAAGTTGCATTACTAGAATTCAAAATACTTGGATCAACAGTAGAATAACAGGTGCCCTTAGTTAGCACACCTGCTTGTTTTACAGTCCTGGCATGAAGTATTTTTGAAGAATTGGTATGCCTGGGGTACTTCTCCACTGTTAATTTATCCTGTGATTAATTGATGGCCTGTAAGGCTTCTTGGTTTAAATTACTTGGTACTGTCTCCCAGGATTAGGCTTCATCTTCCTTCATTTTTCCAAATTAAAAAAAACCAAAACCACCAAAACCAAAAAAAACCCACAAAAACAAACAAAAAAGAAAAAAACATCCTATTGAAAATTTTGGTTTTGGGGTATTTTTATGTGATTTTATCACAATATTTGATTTCTGTAGGATAATAAATCATAGCAAAACATTTAGTATAGTCCTGCTAGCTACACCTGTGATTCATTGCCTTGTAGAACTCGTTAATAACCCTGACAGGCTGTGTATTAGTTGGAGATGGATGGCTTAGAATTCCTGACTGTGTCCTCAGAAGGTGGCCTTTCCAAAAAACACCAGCCTGGCCTCTTGACAGGGGCACTTGCTTGGCAACACATCCTGATGCCATCAGCCCTAGATAACTGATGGTGACAGGCACAAGAGATGCAGTCTTCCTGCTGGGGTGGTAAGCCCCAGATCATTTCTAAATGTCATTTGAAGACAGACTTAGAGGGCTCTGAGTTGCAGGGTAGATTTTTTTAGAGCAATTATTTGAACAAATTACTTGGGCAATGGAAGGTTTGCTGTCACCTAAAATATCCACAGGTAATTTGGTGAGCAGAAGCATCTCTGCCCATAAACTGTGTGTGTCAGGGCTGTCAGGAGGGATAAAGTGAGATGTAACCTGGCACTGCTCAGTTTCAGGACTGCACTGGCAGGTGGTGCCTGAGTTTCCCAGAGCAAGCTCCCAGACTGGTGCAGAGGAGAGGAACCAGCCTTTGCAGAGTGTGCAGAAGGCAGAGGGGCAGGTTAAAGTGATGCTGATCACTTGGGGGTGTGTTATAATAGGAAATGCACAGCCCTGGCAATGGTGTGTGGTTAAAAGAGAGGTTGAGTGTTTTGTGCTCGCTGTCCTGCCTGCCTGTGAGGGTGTGCTCACATCAGGTGATGCCGTGGGGGTTCCCAGATGTTGTTTTGCTGCCAGTGCTGGTTTCCAGCAGCCCTGGAGAGCTGGTGCTGCTGGCAGGGGCTCGATGCCAGGCTGGACATGCTCTGGCTGCACAGCCCAGCTAGATTTGGAGCTCCTGTAGACATTTGTCCTTAAAAATCCCTCTCTTTCCTGAGGAGATTTTTTAATCGTTAATATTCCAGGCAGTGCCTGTGGATATCCTGGCTTCAGCTTGCAAGGACTTTGTTTCAGCTTTCTCATGAGTTGAGGCAGGGCTTCGTTTTGCAACACACGAAGTGCTTTTGCTCCTGTCTGCTGGGAGTGTTCAGCCCTCCCCAGGATCAGGCCCATCATTAGGGTTTGCTGCTGTCTGTGATCTTTTGTTCCAGGAGACTGGGCTAATCCAAAGGACAGGCTGTTGGGTTGATGTCTCTCCCTCAGCTGCTTTCCTGGACTTTTAGCAAGTAGCTGCATTATGAGAGAATGATGGAAATTGTTGCTGGGTAAACATCCTGCTGCCAGCCTGGATGTGTGTGATTCCTGTCTCGGAGCAGGGAAGGCTGTCGATCAGCACTGGAGTGTTCGTGTGATGTGTGTTTGGAGAAGGGCAGCTTGGGATGCTGCTTTGGCGTTCCCCTGGGCTCAGGCTGCTGGGCTGCTTCTGTGATTTCATGATGCCCAGGCAGAGCTTCTGGCACTTCTTTACACGATGAAATTCTCCTTCAAGGCCTTTGAGCAGCCTGCTTCCAGTGAAAGGTGTCCCTGCCCACGGCATGGGGGTTGAATAGGATGATCTTTCAGGTCCCTTCCAACACAAATCATTTTATTGATCTACCTATTCATGGTAAATACCGTGGTAACTGTGGATTTGTGTCTTATTTAAATTGTATTTCAGTCTGTAGTACAGCTTGTTTTTCTCCTTCCAAGCTCCTGTTTCTCTAAGGTTTTTCAGATGCTGAGTTACTGGCACCTGCTGTGGGGGGACATCTGTAGGACATTTGGTTTCCTGGGGCAGGGCTCTGGGTGGGCGAGCGGTGCTTTTGCCTTGACCAGTCTCTGTTTCTGCTCTCCCCAGTGTATGGGCACAACGTGAAGAGCAGCAACGACTTCATTGGCAGGATTGTGATCGGGCAGTACTCGACGGGCGCCCCCGAGTCCAACCACTGGCGCCGCATGCTGAACGCGCACCGCACGGCCGTGGAGCAGTGGCACAGCCTGCGCTCCCGCGAGGAGTGCGACCGCGTGTCGCCCGCGTCCCTCGAGGTGACATGAGCTGGGGCACCGACGGCAGCCGGACCGAGCGGGCGGACGAGATAAACAATAAACCGAGGACCGAAACACCCCACCTCACACCCTACACGCACCCCACAGCAGCTCCGTTGGATTAAAGCGGCCGCCGGCACCCGGCCGTGATCCGTGTCCCACGGGTCCAGCTGTTCCCCTGGGGCCCGACCTCTGGCCGCTTGCCCCCAGATGTTCGCATCCCGCGGGAGGAGCGCGGGGCCGGGCTGGGCATGGACGGGCCGTGGGAAGCACGGAGTGGGTGGAGGAGCTGGGAGTTGCCTCTGTTGTCCTTCCAGTCCAAATCCATGGCTCATCCTCTTGGAGATATAAGTACCCGTGTGCTCTCATTGGTGAACGTGGTAATTAGACTAGAATATTTTTTTAAACGGTAGAACCTGTGGTGAAATCGATTCTGACTGCAGTTTTGTCCTTGTACTAGTTTTTACAGAGTTAAGCTGCTGTTAGTGTGTGCGTTTGTGTGCTGGGGCACGTGTGTGGCCCACGTCGGACGGATCCCGTGTCCCGTCAGCGGTGACCTGCCAGTCTCGATAGCAGTCTGTGTGCGTAGTAGATTCTGTGCCGATATAGAAAAATAAACATTTCCAATAGCATTTGTACTGGGAAAACAAGCTCGCGTCCTTTCAAACGTGCTGTGCAAAAAAAAAACCTGCTCCAGGGACTTTGGCGGTGAAGAAGACCCAGAAAACACAATTTTAATTCTCTCACAGACTGCAGTGGCTCTTTCTGTGTTGTGTGTGTTTACCCAGGTAGTTCTTCAGGTCACCAAGTGAACTTTGCTACAGTCAAGCTGTCCTGTTGGTTGCTTCTGTACACTTTATTTTTTCACACCGTATTGTCTGGTATGATGCAGATCGTATATTTATTGAAAATAAAATTCTATTTAATTGTGCCACATAGATTGGGACGATACTTGTTGAATTCACCTTTGTGTTGACCTCCTTCAGTTATGCTTATGGCAGAAAAAACACCACAATGTTGGCAGTTACCCCATTTTTACTCCCCGCAGATGAACTGGGAGCAGTTTGAGCATATGCTGTAGGAGGCTGATCTCTTCCTGTAACTCACAAAGGCTGAGGCAAAGGGCTGTGGTTTCAGGAGCTACTGTGGTTGACATTAATATTCTTACATGTGGGGCCTCTGGACAGCAGAATGAGCTCAGGACATCCATGGGTGCAGACACATGCTTTGCCCAGCACTGGGGATGAAATGTGAACAGAAGGTAATCTTGCCCGAGTCTGTCCTTGAAGTCATGAGGTGTCTGTTCCATGGGGAGAAACAGTCATCTACACAGGATGCCAAAAATTGGAGAGGGTGCCCAGAGGGAAGGTCAGTAAGAGCAGAACAGAGCAGCGTGGGAGGGAGGGGAGCAGGAGGGATGAATTGTGGCCGTGCTCCTGGCTCTGCAGCCAGCAGGTGAAGCACATCTCATGTTTGGTGAAGTTGGAAGGTAACCCAAAGTGCAGCTGCAGCTCCAGCTGGCACTGCGTGCTGGACGTGCCTGTGCTGTCCCAGTGCTGGGAGCAAAGCTGGTGCCCAGCTGCTGTGCCAGGCTCGGGGCTGTGCCTCGGGGGCAGCGCGGGGGGCTCAGTGCTCCCAGCTGCGCTGGGGGACGCTGCTGCCATCGGTCTGGTTGTTAGAAACTGGGGTAAAAATTATTCAGGGTCTCTGCTCCCTCTTTAAACGTGAATATTTGTGTGCTTTGGGAGTAGATAAACATGCTCAAAGATTTTTGTTCCATAGTTTGCCAGAAGCTGTTTATAACATTGGCTTTATCTAAGGATGGCACACAGGAAAGAAGGGAAGAGGCATGTCTTGACTTCTTGTAATCCAAATTCCTTCATTTTTAGTGTTCTGCTGTAGCAGTAGGATTTTCCTTGAACCAGATAATTTCAGATGAATGTATGGGAGGGGAGAGGTGTTCGTAAAAGGCTTTATTTAACATGAAGAAAACTTAATACAGAAAAGTTAATTGAATCAGTTACTGTCTCTGGGGTAAGTCTGGATGCTATACTGTACTGAAAGCTTGGTATCACCCCAAATTGTTTATACTTGAATGTCTAAAAATGGGTCAAAAATGCTGAAAATTTTAATCTGTAGCTAAGAATAAAAAGGGAACAGCATTGAGAGTGTTCCTAAACAGTTCCTTCAGTGCTGATTTAAGGCATAAACTGGAAATTGAACAGGACCACAACACTGTATAGTATTTGTGCCTGTACTATTTCCCTTATGAGTGCAACAGTTAAAGGAGGATCTTATAGAGTGTTTTTAAAAATCTGAAGTTTATGTCTAACAGAATGGTGATGACAGGAAGGAGACATGCTGGATTATATTGGTACAGGCTGCTGTATCATATCACGTTTTCTGCTGTTACATGATGGCATGGGCCCAGCACTTGGCAGATGGGCACAGAGTGAATTCCTGAAATAGCCTTGGAGCCCCGGGCACAGCTGGGGGTTCCTTCTTCTAGGCCGTTTAAGTGTGTCAGTGCCTTGCCTTGCTCTGGGAGAAAAATCCCAAACCAAACACAGGAAAAAAAAACAACAATTCCCCCACCCGCCCGAAACTAAACCAAAACAAAAAAAAGGACGCCCCACAAGGGGGCAGCGCCATGTTAAACCCCGCTGCCCTGCAGCCCTGGGAGCCCTTCCCCTTCCCGCTGCCGGGGGCCGCTCCCCGGTGCCATCGCGGCCCTCGCCCTTCGCCCTGCCCGGTCCGTGCCGGCAGCGGGGTCCCGCCTGCCACCCCCCGGTGTCGGGCTGTCCCCTCCGCCCGCAGCCGAGCCCTGAACACCGCCCCGGGATGGGCCTGGGGGGCGAGCGGGGTGATGCCCTTACCTGCGGCCCCGGCGGGTGACAACAGCTCTCCGGGAGCAGCGTGTGCCCGAGCCGGGCTGCGGGCAGCGCAGGGGACCCCGGCCCCGGCCCCGGCTGGGATGCGCTGAGCGCGGGCAGGCTCAGCCGGGGCGGGCTGGGGGCAGTGGCCCGGGTGCGGGTCCCTGTGGGATGAGCTGAGAGGGGCCGGGGGCGGGCTGGGGGCAGTGGCCCGGGTGCGGGTCCCGGTGGGATGAGCTGAGAGGGGCCGGGGGCGGGCTGGGGGCAGTGGCCCGGGTGCGGGTCCCTGTGGGATGAGCTGAGAGGGGCCGGGGGCGGGCTGGGGGCAGTGGCGCGGGTGCGGGTCCCGGTGGGATGCGCTGAGCGGGGCCGGGGGCGGGCTGGGGGCAGTGGCCCGGGTGCGGGTCCCGGTGGGATGCGCTGAGCGGGGCCGGGGGCGGGCTGGGGGCAGTGGCCCGGGTGCGGGTCCCGGTGGGATGCGCTGAGCGGGGCCGGGGGCGGGCTGCGGAGGAGCCGCCGCTCGGGGGAGGGGGCAGAGCGGCCCCTATATCCGCCCCGCCCGGCGGCAGCCCCAGAACCCGCGGGGCCCGGCCCGAGCGCGACCCCCGCAGCCGGAGGGAGCCCCGCGCCGGCCGGAGCTCCCCGGGAGCCGCAGCCGGCCGGACCCCGAGCCCCGCGCCCGACGGCACCGGGCGGGAGCCGTGCCCGGCCGCTCCGGCCATGGGCGGCGGGCGGGCGCTGTGCCCGCTGCTGGCCACAGCCCTGCTGCCCACTGCCCTGCTGGCCACCGCCCTGCTGGCCGCACACGCCTTCCCCCAGACCAACATCAAGATCAGCCAAGGTGAGTGCCCGGCGCTGGCCGCGGGATCTGATCGCCGGCCGTGGCAGCCGGGAAGAAGCGTGTGTGCCTCCCGCAGGGCTGGCAGCTGGCTTCCCCCTGCTCCAGAAATCCCTGACTTTCTTCGAAATCAACCTTCTTCATGGGGACGTGCCCGGTCCTTCTCTTGGCGATGCCAAAGGTCTCTGGGCTGGCTTTGTGTGTCAGCTCAGCCCTTCGCCAGCACGCTGCCCTGGCCCTGCCTGGGTCCCGTGGCAGGAGTCGCTGCGCCAGGCACACACGGGAAGGGTGCGGGGTTGTGGCCGTGCAGCCCAGCAGGACAGGCTGAGGGCCACCTGGGCTCCTCGTTCATTCACACTTACTGCATGTGAACAAATACGGGATTCTCCCCTATTCCCCCTCTCTGCTCCGACCTGCTGCTGACTGCTGTACATCACTTAGGTTTCTTCCAAACTTTTCCATGGTGTCGGTGCAAGCGAGAGTTGCTGCACCAAGTTTGTTTGAACCCTGTTAGGTTTATTGGGACTGTGAGTGGAAAGGGACTCCTTAAGTGCTTTTTGGTGAGATCGTGAGAAAAGGGATCGATACAAGCCTGGCTTTCCTGCCAGACGCCTAATCCGTGGGAGCGTTGCCAAAACTAATTAAGGAGGAAAAAAAACCTCTGCAAGGTAACTTCTATCTGTCAGTGCCAGCTGCAAGAGCATTGCTGCTGGTATTGGCTGTAGCCTCACAACTTGAAACATATCTGCTAGAGGATTTGAAGCTGTAAAACCAGCTTGGTTTCATTAAAGAATTTTAAAAAGTAAAGTCCTCGGTGTGAGAGGATGTCTCTCCCAATGTGCTTCAACTGATGTTTAATATTTTACTTGAAAACTTTTGCTATGTGCCTTAAAAACATTTCAGGGTGTGTAAAATATTGCCCAATTATGAGATTCATGTCTCCATCAGTGGAGACGTCCCCTGCAGCTCCATACAGCCCCCAGATACACTGAGACCAAGGCACCTCCTCTGATCACTTCCTTCAAAGGTGGATTCTCAGTGTGATATTCTTTCATCTGTTGATGAAAAACAAACACTGCAAGTAACATGAAGGTGGCATTGTTTGCACATGGTGACTCTAATGTCAGGGCTTAAGGACTTGCTTCTAAAGCCATGGGTGAGTTGAGGCATCCCAACATCACACAACAGCACTGTTTTAGTCCCTGCCACATACTCCTGCCCTCCAACCCCCTGTTTAAATGCTTACTCAGTGGGTTTGCTCAGAAGAGGATGTGGTGGGATGGACATCTGGCTCAGCTGGCACCCCCAGCTTACCATGGGCAGTTTCTGTTGAAGTCATCCTGGGGCTGGGTTCTGGGGGTCCCCTGTCCCCTCTAACTCCTGCAGCTCCAGCAGTGCCAAGCCTGGGTGAAGCCCTGCTGCTGGCCCTCCCCGTGGCCGGAGCTGGTGAGAGGTGACTTGGTGTTGGTGAGCTCCAGGATGCTGGTCCTGAGCCCAGCCCTGCCAGCTGGGCCTGCTGCCCATCCCTCACTCTCACCACCACAGCCCTTGGGTCCTGCTGCACGGCTTCTGCCCTGGGAAGGACCCAGACTGACACATGACAGGGATCTCCTCAGCTCTTCTCTGCTGACATTAGTTTCAGACGAGCCTCTTGGGCGTTGATGGACACTCTCCAAGCCCAGCTGCCTGCCAAGAGCTGAAGAGGTTCACTTGCCTTTTCAGGTCAGATGGCAGCATTAGCTTATGGATGTGCGGGGGGTGTCTCCTGGCACCTCTAAGTTTTGAGGAAAGCTGCCTGCTGTTGATGAAATGAAGTTCTTTGATTCTCTGCAACAAGAAGAGCACCTGCTGCCAGCACTGACCTGAGCTGGTCTGCTGTCAAAAACCCTTTGATGGAGCTGCAGCCCCTCAGGAGTCTTCCTTTCCTGGGCATCTCTTGCCAGCCTCGTCCTAGCCTCAGATTTCACATCTCAAACCTGCAGATCTGTGGAAGTGAGGCAGCATTACTCCTTTGGACAAAGATTCCAGGAGCAAACTTGCTCTTCACCAGCTGAGTCCAGGGGAGCCATGCAGCTGGTAGCAGGTTTTTTTTTTTCCAGTAGCATCCTGAAATGAAGATAAACCCTTGTGAAACTGGTTAGGATTTTCTCAGTTAATTATTTCTAGTTGGAAATAGGACAGCTGGGGAAGTGAAACTTTTTTGGCAGAGCAGTGCCAGCTTCTGTGAGATTTTGATAAGTGATTTTCCTGGTAGTTCTACAGTAGGGCTCAGCTAGTAAATAAATAAAAAGGCTCCAATTTGGCACAAATGCAGAGAACACAAAACTTTATTTCTGACCCCAAATATTTGTTTTCCAGCTTTTCTGAGTTAGTAACAGCTGCTTGATCTGAATCTTATCCTCAGCCAAGTCTGGTGCTGCTTTAAACCATGGTCCTACCCTTAAAACTGCTGAATTGCTGTCAATTTTGTAAGCAAAGAAAGGGAGAAAGGGTTCTTGCCATCATTTTTCACCAGGAATTTGGGGACAAATGGGTGGACTGACTTGGGGTCAGCAGGAACCCCCATGCTGCAAGCACTGGCTGTGCTGATCCTGCCCTGTGTGGAGGAGCTGATGTTTTGCTGGTGTGGTTAAAAGTGAGGATCAGGTCTAAAAAGCCCCCAGATGCTTTCCCTGTCACCTTCTAGACCAAAATACCACACACAGCTGCTGGCTTGGGTTGTGAGGCTTTCCTGGAGAGCCATGAGTAGGCCCCTATATTCACAACCCTACATCAGATTTATTATGGTCTTTCTGCTACAAATATTTCAAATAAAGCAGCTCCCCTAATTGTTCCTGCCTGAAAAACTGGGACCGGTAGTTCTCCTCCAAAGAGACAGCCAAAGCCTCTGATCCTGACCTAACAGAAAAGATGCTAATTAAAAGCTGACCTCCCATATTTTTCTTTTTGGTATATTTAACCTTAAATTCCTTCAGGCACCTCTGGTTCACTGAAGCTCGTCAAATTAATGCTACCTAATGGGAACCAGTATGGAATAACAAAGAGGGACTGTCTCAGTTTCTGACTTGGTTTCAGCTGCTCTGAACAAACATGAGGCTGATTTTCCCTGGCAATTGGGGTGCCCATGGGCCAGCTGGGAGCCAGGACAGTGGGACTCCCACTGCAATTAGCACTCAGCAGTGAAGGCTCCATTTGCTGGGGATGCTGCTGGGTTAAGCCCTGTGAATTTTGCCACCATGCTGCTGGAGGTGAGGATTTTGTCAAGGCACTATAATAAAATCCCAATTGCTGAGGCAGCTGGTGGTGCCTTGTCTGGCACAGAGCTCTGGGCTGTCCTCAGCAGGAGGGAACAGCAGCCTCGAGTCTCTGCAAGCCAGGACCAGATCCCAGCCCTGTCCTTACTGGGGGTACATGCCTCACCTGAGACCTGGTGGTAGAGCTGAAGCCTCATACTGGAACTTTGACCCTTGCTCTGCTTCGGTTTTGGTGGGGACAGGGAACCCCGGCCAGCATCATGAGGGGAGGAGCGCTTGGCTCCCAGGAATCACATCAGCTTCTGGAGTTCCTGGTTCTGGTCTATTGCTCAATGAAGTAATTTGCATCTCCTAGGGCTGTTCTAAGGTTTATCCCAGTGCAATTTTGGCCGGGTGTAAATCAGAGAACCGAACTCTGCATCACCACTGAGCTGTCTTTATCTTACCCACTCTCCCCAAAAGCTGTTTTGCTCTTCCAGCCCAGCAGGCCTTATCCTTTTTCCTCCATAGCCCATAATTGGTGCTGATGAGGATGGGAGAGCCCCTTGAGCCCCTCAAGGGTTTGTTTGGTGCAGAGCTGCCCCCAGTCTCAGCTCCTCTGGAGGGATGCCTGGGGGTCCCAAGGCAGGTTGATGGGGTGACAGCCCCACAGGGCTTGGCAGTTGACTTGGCCTTGCTCAGGAGGAAAAAAAGACTCTTTGCATTTGTGTTTTGTCACCTGGGAGGGGGCTGTGACAGCAGGGACCCTGTGGGCTGGCTGGTGGCTGTAGAACACTCAGAGATCCCCATGTGGAAAGAGCTGGTGAGTGATGAAATTATCACCCAGAGCTGCCAGCATTGGCACAGGGAAGGATTTGGCTCTATGAATGCTCACACAGCTGCTTTGGATTCACCTTGCCTCTCTTTTTCTCCACGCTGTTGCTTCCCTAGTCACAACCACATCCCTTGCTGCTGCTGGCAGGGTTTTGCTCTCCCCACCCTCAGGGAAAGCCATTCCCCTGGCCCTGGAGGCACCACCCTGACCTCTCTGGGCTTGAGCCTGTTACCTGCATGGATAGTCTGATGGCATCTGACATCTTCCCTGAGCTCCTTCACACCCACCCTGCCCACTGCCCCACTCTCTTCAACAGCAGCACTGACCCCAGACCACGGCTCCCTGGGGAGTGGGAACTGGCTCAGGGGGAGTTGGCAATTCCCCCACATTCACAAACCAGCAGCTAAGAGAGTTGAGTCTGTGTGCCCCAAGACCTGAGTGCTTCATCCTCCCCACACGTGGGGGAGCAGAACACGGAGGAGGTTGGAGCAGTGTGTTAATGCCACTGCTGTGTTTAGACAGCGGCAACTACAAAGGCTCCAAAGGGACATCCTGTCCTCACAGTGGCCTCTTTTGGGGCAACTTCCCCACCGTGCTGGAAAGCAGGGGAGGAGGAGCAGCTGTGTGGCCCGGTGTTATCTGTTGGTGGGAGGCAGGCAGGCTGGCACCGCTCCCGGCAGCTATTCCTGGGGTTGGGGCCCGATGCGAACGTGCACGGCTGCGTCCCAGGGACAGGGGATGGGGGTTTCCTTGGGGGGAGGAGGTGCAGGCTGTCCTTGCAGGAGGGCAGAACACGTCCATAACCCCTCAGCCCTGGCTGTCAGCTCCTGTCCCAGCACAGTGGCTCCAGCGGTGCTGACAGAGGCGAGAGGAACCCTTATCTCCGTTTTCCCAGTAGCAAATGTCAGTGCCTTTATTTTAAGCATCCTCTATCCAAACTGATGTCAAGCAAGCTTGGAATGTCCCTCCTGATTTAGACACATGATGAAACTGAGAACCTGCAACTTGTTTAAAATGTATTTTGACTTCTGCAAACTTTTGCACGGCTGCTGCAGCAGTTGTGTTTTCCCTGGTGTGTTTGGTGGTTATTTGCCTGGGTGAGGTGGGAGAGCAGGGCTGGGCACTGCTGCCTCCACCACCTGCTCAGCTTCCTGGCCAAGCTGCCTCACCACCAGCTGCTGGATGTCCTCTGCTCTGCCCCCAGCCATGCCTGAGCCTGTCCACGCCTACTCCTGCCCGCTCTTCTGGACGGAATACGAAGGCCACTGCTACCGGTACTTCCCCATCAATAAAACCTGGGCTGAAGCCGACCTCTACTGTGCCGAGTTCTCCATCGGCATCAGATCAGCCAAGCTGGCCTCCATCCACAGGTGAGGTGTGCAGAAATGTGTCATCCCACCTGACACAGCCTGGGGAGGAAGGGAACTGGGGGCAATCCCATTCCCACATCACAGCTCATGTTCCTACACATCCCTCTGCAGCAGTGGCCCAGTCAAGGCTGATGCACAGGTCACACAAAGGCAGTAAAATAAATCCCTTTTCCTGGATGGGCAGGGAAACTGGCATAGTATTCCCTAAATTGCCCCAGGCTGCAGTTTTTTACTCTAGAAAAAGGGATAGAAGTACACGATTACAAAGGCTTTTTTCCCTATTCCGTCTCCCCCAGCTCTCAGCAGCGCTCCTCTTGCACAGAGCCAGGAAAGGAACCAGCAGCAGTAAGAAGCAGGGGACCCAGTTGCCCACGGGCCCTGTGGTAGGGTGAGTGCTTAGGGGCACTCCTGAGCATTTGCTGACATCTCCTCTTGATTGCCCCGTGCTGCTCTGTTTTTCCAGCTGGGAAGAAAACGTCTTTGTGTACGACCTGGTGAACAGCCGCGTGCCCGGCATCCCCACCGACATCTGGACAGGACTCAACGACCTACGGCAGGTGGGACTCCCTGTATCATGTGGGAAATGGCTTTGAAAAACTCGCCCCTGTGCTTCCCCCCTGGAAAGCCACTTGGTTTTCTTCTTTGCCCCTTATACCCCCTTTAATTAGGAGGTGGCATAGAGTCTGTGGTGTAGAGCAACTTGTTACTTCACCCATTCCAGTCTGCTTTTAAAAGAGAAGTGTTACTAGAATTAATAGATTAATCAATAATTACTCATATCACATTTGATTACTGGATTGATAGAATGAGTATTGTACTGCTGGTCCAAGAAGAGCAAATAAACTGAAAGGTCTTCAGTGTCAAACATCACTAAGTTCCATTGCTCTCTTATGATCCTCTGTGACTTTTGAAAGCTGACATATTGGAAATATATAGTCCTATATGTTAGAAAGAAAAATTGAGACCCTAAAAATTGTTAGAAAGAAAAAAACGAGAGAGTCTCATGTCTGCAAATTTTTTTGCAGATACTGGAAAAGGAATGGAAAATGAAAAGGAAAATGAATGCAGAGCTGGGTGGGAGTGTTAAAAATATATAGATTTAATTTCTGGGCTTCCCCTGGTGAGAACACTGTGAAACCTGGGGCTGTTCTTGGCAGGTTTCCAGTTGTAAAACCCAAACGTGCTGTTTGGGCTTTGCTGAGTGGTGTCTGTCGGTGTCCCTGGGCTGTGTGGCACTGGGGATGGGGTGGGGTCACCATGGAGTGGGCCTCCCACCCTATGCAGTCACAGCCCTGTGGTGACAGCCTCTCTCCACTGGCCTCGTGTCAGGAGGGTCACTTTGAGTGGACAGATGGCTCCTCCTTCGACTACCACTACTGGGATGGCAGCCAGCCTGACGATGGGATCCACTCCATCCCGGAGGAGGAGGACTGCGTGCAGATCTGGTACAGACACAGCAGTGGTGAGCGCCCAGGGCACCTTCAGTGTTATTTGCATGTCAATAAATTCAATCCACCGTGGCTCCTGCTTTTCTGAAGAGTTTGCTGGCAGGCAGGATTTGCATTTTAATTTTTTAGTATTATTTTCTTTTTTTTTTTTTTTTTTTTTTTTTCTTTACAGTGAAAAGGTGTTTTCCCTTTCATCATGTACATACATACATACATGCTCATCTTCCCTCTGCTCCCAGCCCATCTCCCTCTCCCACAGTAGCAGCAGGACAGGACCATCAGCTGCCTTGAAGAATTACCAGATTTAGTCAAAGGTCAAATTTTTCCATTTCCCCTCCCACACGGGAAACCTGTGGAAACACTCCCTGGTCTGCCAGCTTTTCTCTCCCATGCTTGGGCCAGGACATCTTGCTGAAATGGAACAAGACCCTGCATGTGCAGAAATCCCACTTCACACCCTCACTGCCAGTGAGACCAGCCATGTGTGTCCAGGCCCCCCTGATGTGCCTGAATGTCCTGTCCATGGGCAGCCCTTGGATAATTTTGGGGCAACAGGACTGTGTTTGCAGCTGCCCCTCCACTACCAAGTCCAAGCTGGGGCCTGGCCTCCCCTCTCACCTCCCCCAGATGAGGGTGCATGGTTCTCTCCTTTTGCCTTTTTTCAGCTAATGCCTTGGTGGTTTTTTTTGGAGGGTAGCACTGCGCTCCTGGAACGACAACGCCTGTGGCAGATCCTTCCCCTTTGTCTGCAAGATCCCCTCCCTGGCCCTGGACTGAGGCTACTGGTGCTGCCCACACCCCACTTCATTCTGGGTCACCTCTCCAGCTGTGCCAGGAAGAGCAGTCAGGACATGGCCTGGGCTGGGAGAGCCGTGGAGCTGCTTGGATCCCCGGCCAGTCCCCGGCTGCAGAATCCCTCCTGGGAGTATGGTGGGGATGAACCTGGCACTGAGCAGTGACAGGAGCTACATTCAACAGCAAAGGAGTCCCCAAGCCCGAGTCTGGCTCTGGATTTCACATCAACTATCACAGCGTGTTAGAGGAAGCCAATACACCAAACTGTTAGCACCCAGTAGTAGCCGTGTGTAGGAAATGCTTTTGCCTGTTGATCTGTGAAGAGTGGAGGAAAAGTGTTATTTTCTGTTAAGTTATGCAAAATGCCTCTTGTCCATGTTATTTTTCTCTCTGCTAAAATAAACGGCAAACAGCAGCTGGAGGCTCCGCTGTCTTTCTTGCCCTGGAGTGGCAGCAATTCCCTGGGGACTTGGGGTTTCATGTGAAAGGAGTTTTCCCCCCAACCTGCTCTGTATTACAGAGGTGTGTTGGGGGGAACGGCTGCCTGGGAAAGTTCATTTTATTTTCTCTGTTTTCTGGGGTGTGTGGGGCAGCCTGTGTGCTCACCCTGCCTGGTCCCCACAAACAGAGCCCCCATGGAGGGTGACAGTCAGTGCCCACAGCTCAGCAGCATCCCCGAGCAGGCAGGGTTGGCCAGAGGACTGAATGAGCTGGAGGGCAGGTGAGGGGCTGACACAGCCTGGCTGGGGCTCAACCCATCCTCACAGCCCGCTCCTGCCTGGGGAGAGCTTGCAGTGTTTGCTGCAGCCCTGCTTCCCAGTGAGATGATGTTTTCTCCCTAAGTCCTTGCTGATGTCCTGTGCTGCACTGGCACCACAGCAGTACTTCTGTCTCCCAGGTAAATCATTTTTGTGTGCTTTGGTAGCTGCCGTGTGCCTTTTGGAACTGCTCAGGAACTCCTCCTTGGACAAGGGTGGATTTGCAGGGTTTGGGTGTAAGTGGGGCTGTGCTGGTGCCAGGGAGGGCCCCAGGGAAAGGTAGGGCTATTGAGGGGAAAAAAGGCTTCTCCTTTGGGGGACACAGCTCCAAGGGCACTGCAGGACCCAGGCAGAGGCAATAAATCCAGTGCTCCCCAGGGAACCCCGGGGTGTGAGCTCTGGTCCCTCACATCCCCTTAGCATCCAGGTGGCTTTGCAGGTAGCCCTGTCCTGGGAGCCAGGAGTCCCTTTTGTCCCTGCTCTGGCAAAGCCACAGGGGCTGACCCATCTCAGCTGCAAAGATGAGTATTGTCAGAAGCACTGTCATAAAATTGTCTGGTCCCCCTTGATGCCACCGTTTTAGAAATACAAGATTCCAAAATGAAGGCTTTCCAGAGTGATTGCACTGGATGCAATTGAGGTCAGTAGCTGAGGCTCCACTGGGAGCTTGGAACTGCTTCCTCAGATGGCAGTGGAGCTTTTGGCTAAGGTATGTTTCCACTTGGAGAGGAACTGGAAAATTTGGTGGGGGTAACAATGGTGTTGGAAGTGAAATGTGTGTGCTGGAGCAAGTTTCTAAAACAAGAAAGTGCTGTCATCCCTGATTTTGTATTTTTATATATAAAAATACTTATATAGATATAAAAATGGATAATACATATAAATAAAACTATTATTTTTATTGGATTTTTAAAATTAATATACACCCTATTCATATATTTATATGGAAAGTTAGCCATTTGTGTAGTTTTCAGTTCTGGATTTCAGCATTGGATGTGTTTTCTAGAGGCTTTTGTTTCACCTGAAAATAATAAATTATGTATGGAAGTATGTAAATAAAGCAGCTGCTTAAAAAGAAAGCTCTTGGATGCAGCAAGCCGGATAAAGTTGATGTGGTCTGTGGCAGTTTGAAGAGCCAAGCGTGGTGCAGGCCATGTCTGCTGAACTCGTGGTTCTGAGGGCAGATGCTGAGCCGTGGTCCTGTGTGGGATGGAGCTCAGCCCCAGCACAGGGCAGGGGACAGCCCAGCCCAGTGTCCCCTCGGGCTGGCCGTGCCCGAGCCTGTCCCAGGGCAGGGCTGGGGGCTGCAGGGACAGCCACCCACCCCCAGAGCTGCTGCTGCACCGTGCCAAGCTCTGCTCCAGGCTGCCCCTCCCCATTTCTTTTTCCTGTTCTTCCTGTGTCTCCTGTCCAGAGGAGCTGGGAGTTCATCAGGGCTGGGGATTGGTATGCCTCGAGCCAAACAACTGTCTTTTTTCCCTGCAAGTGGTATGAGATGTTTCAAAAGAAAGGTTAAAACCTTCCCTTGGGAAAGCGTTTGAAGACCTGGGCCCTACTGTGGTTAAAAATATTGCTAATGGGGAGCCCAGTGAAAGCTGTCACCTCCAATTTACATCTTCATTTCCAGGTAAAAAGAACTGAACATGCATGACCTGAAAGTCAGGACCAAAGTTAATAGGGGCTTTGTTTCCCAAACCCCCTGTCCTTCTCCTTTGGCTCCAGGGTCCTTACTTAAAAATCAACCCTCTGTCCTTGCCAGTGTCTTCTGTTTCACAGTAATCAAATAAAATTCGGAAAACAACAGGAGTTTTCACCTCCTTAATGAACTTCTAGTGGGTCTGGCTTGATGAAAGATGGGCCACGCCCTTTCTCTTGGCTTGGATGGTTCCAGACTCTGCATGGCCTGGAGCAGCTCCAGATTCCAGGATGAACTTCTTTATTTTTCTCTTCTCCTTGTCCCATAACCCCTCACTCCCTTGTTATCTTGAATTTCTCCCTTCTGACTCGCTCTGTGGTACAGGCAATGGGAAGAAATCTGACAGCAGCAGGACTCTGACACCTCTTCTGCACATCACTTGCAAGTGATTTATTCCCGAGGGTCTTTTTATGACACTGGTTTTCTCAGGGGTTGAACACCTTCTTTTGTAACTCATGAAAGCTGGGATGAGTGTGAACAGTGTGTGATACAGCCTGGGTGTGGAGCAAAATAGGCTTAACCCTCCTGTCCCCTGTTTCTGAGCTGTAGAGGCAATATTGCCCCCAGCCCCAGATGGGCCTGCCTGCACCTCTGACCTTTGGATTCCTTTTATTCCTACTTTGATTATTTCCTGAGATGTGCTGTTGGATACTGTGATACAGGGCGTGGATGTCACAGCTTTTGGGCACGCTGGGGCTGCCCTGGCACAGCCTGGTGAGGATTTTCCTCCGCAGTGATTATCTTGACTGCTCCAATGCCTGCTTGGGCTGTCCTTTCCTCTACTAATTGGGTTAAGATTTTTTCTCCTGTAAATGACTGGGAGAAGAAGGCTGAATCATGAGCTTTTTGTTGTGCATTTCCCTTGGATTTAATTGCTTGAGTAGTGGCTCAGCTCCTGCCCTGAGGCCAGGATGCCACAGAGTGGTTCCCTTTGACAGAGAACAAAAATATCTTGGGACCAAAAAATATGCTTTGAGCAGCTCAGAGAGTACATTACAGACTGGCTGCAACAGTGAGCCCCATCACCAAAATACCCCAAGCCACAAAGCTCTATGATAAATGCTGGTATCCATCTGTGCAGTGGGGTTAGTGTTAAATCCACAGCTTTAGTGCATCCCAAATGTCTGGGAGAGATGGAGCAGGGGAAGGTGAGCAGGATTTGGCCCCGTGCTGTGTGGGTCCCAGTGGATGTTGGCTTAACTGAGCTGCTCCTGCTGTTCTATAGGAGGGCTTTCCCAGCCCATCTCATACCATCTGCTCCCTGCTGCTGCCAGGGAATGATCAGGACTGTGGGAACCAGTGGGGACAACCCTGCTGGAAATGTATCTCCTTCTGGGCAGCCTGAGGGCTCAGCAGCAGCAGCCATGCCTCCTGAAAGAGGTATGAATCAGGCTGGGTTTATACACCCTGGAAGCTGCTGGTGTGTAATGGCACCTGAACTAATTGCAAAAGCTCAGTGAAACTTCCAGCAGCACCAGTTCCCCTCAGACGGGCTCAGAGCTGCCAGGGGCTCCCCCAGCCTGGGAGACCCTGGGATGGGGCTGCCTCAGCTCAGGAACCCTTTCATGCCAGGGCCCATTGTGCTTTTGATTGTTCCCTTTTGGTACCCCAAAAGTCTCCTCCTCTTTTGTGGCCAAGGATTTCCAGGCCTCCTGAGAAAATTGTGTTGGTGGGGAAAGCTGGCTGAGGGCCAGTACCCGTCCCTGATTGGCACAGACTCTGCAGCACAGCCACCTAAAAACAGTGGTTATGTTTTTCATTAACCACTTTGACTTTCCTGGGGCTCAGTAGCTTGGCTGGAAACTTTCATTCCTGGGTGCAAATTGTCAGAGCTGCCACTGATCAGAGGTAAAGCAAGATCTGATGGGAACACAATTCCCACTGCGGTCCCTGCTTGGAAAGCCGGTCAGCCTTGAAGGACACAGAGCCAAAGCACAGGTGACGTGAGAGAGGAAGGATCCAGAGCTGGCACTGTACATGTGAGTGCCTGGAGCTGCTCAGAGAGGACAGGGCTGTTCTGGGCTGGTGTGAAAGAGCTGATGCTGCTCAGCAATCCTGGCTGCTGTCCCCAAGCGGGGTCCTGGGCACCACGTTCCTGCTGTGCTGGCAAAATGTAGCTGTATTTGGCAATCTACCAAAAAAGTCTAGTCCAGCTCTCAGGGTTACCATGGCAACTAGATATTTGCTCATTTGTGTTTCTTGAAAATTATACTGGGCTGCTGATTGCCTCATTTGTGAAGCTCTTTATCAGGACGCCAACAAATCCCTGTTTGTCGAGGGCTGTGAGGGAGCGAGTGGTGCTGTTGTTGAGCAGATTTCTGAATGGGAACTCTGCTGGAGTGTGGGTGTGTTATGACAGCATCCCTCCCACAGACACCCAGAAACATATCCCTGGCCTAGGAGGAGGGTGCTTGCTCTGCTCATCCCCTCTGACATCCATTACTACTTGTGCCATTGCTTGGGTTAATATAAAATGTGAGTGACTTGTCATGGGAGACCACACTCAGGATGGGACGGGGAAAGGCTTGACAGGAAACTGTCTTTT